AGGTTTTTGAAATAGGTGTTGATGATCTTCTGTATTTCTACAGAGTCTGTAATGATTTCACCTTTTTTATTCCTTATTGCATGAATTTGAGCTTTTTCTTCCCTTTTTTTAAAAAATAAGATTGGCTAGAGGCTTATTGATTTTATTTATTCTTTCAAAGAAACAACTCTTTGATTCATTCACTTTTTGGATTGTTTTCTTAGTCTCTATTGCATTAATTTCTGCTCTGATTTTTATAATTTCCTCTCTTCTTTTGGCTTTGGGTTTGACTTGCTCTTCTTTTTCTAGATGTTTGAGGTACAACATCAGGTTATTTATTTGTATTGGTTCTCTTTTCCTGATGTGGGAACTCAGTGCAATAAATTTTCCTCTGAGGACAGCTTTCATTGCATCCCACAGATTCCAGTAAGTTGTATTTGTGTTTTCATTTGTTTGTAGGTATTGTTTAATTTCTTTAATTTCCTCTGTGACCCACTGATTACTCAAGAGTGTGTTATTCAGTTTCCATGTGTTTGTGGGATTTTTGCAGTATCTTTTATCTTAATTTCTAATTTCATAGCGCTAGGATCCAATAACATGTAAGAGATAATTTCAATTCTTTTGCATTTATTTAAATATGTTTTGTGAGTTAATATGTGGTCTATTTTAGAGAATGACCCATGTACTGCTGAGAAGAATGTGTATTCTGTTGTTGTTGGGTATATGTCTGTATATGTCTACCAAGTCCATTTGTTCACAGGTGTGATTCAGTTCTTTTATTTCTTTGCTGATTTTCTGTCTGGTTGATCTGTCCCTTGGTGTCAATGGTGTGTTAAGATCTCCTGTTATAATTGTATTACTGCTAATTTGGTTTTTCATTTCTGTTAATGCTTGTTTTATATAACTGGGTGCTCTGGAATTTGGTGCATATATATTTAAAATATATTCAAATATATTTCTTCCTCTTGAAGTTTTCCCCTAGCCAGTATGTAGTGACCTTCTTTATCTCTTCTGATCATTATTGGTTTGAAGTTCACATTGTCTGCAAACAGAATAGCTACCCTCGTTTTTTTTGGGGGGGGGGTCCTGTTGCATGAAGTATTGTTTTCCATCCTTTGACTTTTAGTCTGTGAGTATTCTTTTGGGTTAGATGGGTTTCTTGCGGACAGCCTATGGTTGGATTTTGTTTCTTGATCCATTCTGCCACTGTACTTCTTTTAATTGGTGCATTGAGACCATTTACATTAATGGTTATAACTGTTATATGTTGGTTTATTGTTGACATGTTATCTTTCTGCTGTTGCATCTTTATCTTTCTGTTCTATTTAATTGTCTGCTTTGTTTAGTGTTTTTTTCTAAGTATATCTAAACTGTCTTTCAGTATTCTTTGCAGGGTTGGCTTGGTGATGATGAAGTTCTTCAGCTGTTCTTTGTCATGGAAGTATCTTATTTCTCCATTGATTTTGAAGGACAGTTTTTCAGGGTACATCAGTCCAGGTTGGAAATCATTTTCCTTTAGGATCTGAAGTATTTCACTCCATGCTCTTCTTGACTTTATTGTTTGTGCTGATAAGTCTGCTGTGATTCTGATAGGTTTTCCTTTATAGGTGATCTTTTCTCTCTGACAGCTTTTAATATTCTATTCTTTTGCTCAATTTCTGGGATGGTGATTATTATATGTCTGGGTGTAGTTTTGTTTTGGTTATGGCTACTTGGAGTTCTGTATGTTTCATTGACCCTGATAACATTTTCTAATCTCATGTTTTAGAAATTTTCAGCTATTACTTCTCTAAATATCCTCTTGATATCCTTTATGTTGTCCTCTTCTTTTTCACTTATCCCTATCAACCTCATGTTGTTTTTCTTTGCATCATCGTGCAGGTGTTGAATTGTTATTTCCTGGTTTCTTGTTATTTTTAAAAGCTCTTTCCTTTCCTATTCACTGGCTGCCATCTTGTCTTTGAGGTCTGAAATTGTACCTTCACGTTAATTGAGGCAGCTTTTACAACTTTCAATGGAATTTTTGATTTCCTGTATATCTCTTTGCATCTGCTTTATATATTCTGTTTGTTTCTTATATTGTTCATCTAGGGATTCTATCTTTTTGTTTAGTTCCTGCAATTTTTTAACTGTGTCTTCTTTAGATATGTTCAACATCTCCTGCATTTCTTTTATCATTTCTTCTTTTACCTGAGAGATTACTTCTAGTTTGAATTCCTTTAAAACTTCCCGGAGTTGCTTCTTTATTTCAGTTACTATTATTTCAGGTATTTCAGACATATGGCATGTATTTTCTTCTGTGTACCTGGCTCCTAGGCTTTCTTGGGATGGGCTGGGATGTGTACCTGGCTCCTAGGCTTTCTTGGGATGCAATCTTTGAGATTGCATTTTGGTCTTTCGTTTTGTCGTTTTCCTATATTTCCGTGTTTCAAGTGTTGTTCCAAAGCTTCCCCTGGGCGTGTTGGAAATTGTCTCCTATGTCCTGGGCTCCTGGGACTCCTCTGGTAGTGTAGCTCCCTCCTTGGGCAGCGAGGCCCCCATATTAAAAGAAGGTTGCCAGGCTACTCTCAGGTAGACCTAAAGCCTCCTCAAGCTACACAGCTCCCCCATCGGGCAGCAAAGCTCCCCTAAGGGAAAGAAGGCCACCTGGTGTGGTCCAGACCATCCCAAATCCCCCTAAGCCCAATCTTGTGTGGCTGCAAGCCCAAAGGACCCCCAAACCCCTAGAGCAAGGAACTTATACTCTGCCGGAGATTGGATGTTGCATAACTATCCAGCTCCTTGGATGGCAAAGCTGCCCGGGCTGATAGAAGGTCCCCCTATGGCCTAGGTAAGCCTCAAACCTCCTCAGCAGGGCTGTTCCCTCCTCCAGGTGGTGACAGTAGTGCTGGTGCTCTCCAAGTCGAAAGAAGGTCGCAGGCAAGGCCCGAGCAGGTTCCCACAGCTTGGCCCAGTTCCCTCCAGCAGGTAGGGCAGCTGCCACGAGCCCTCCAGGTGAGGGAAGGCAGTCAGCAAGGCTGGTGCGGGGTCCTGCTGCTCGGCCCAACTCACTCCTCCAGGCGGGCAACTGCGGTGTGCACTCCGGGTGAGAGAGGCTTTTAATAGGGTTTCAATTCTTTTTTTCCTTGTAAATTTCTGTGGTAATGATGTCAAACAGGAAAGTGCTTTGCAAGTTATTTACTTCATCAGTACTCAACTCAAGGTTTTGAGTGTAAATCTCAATGTTAATACAAAGCACTATGTAATCAAGTATCTGCTAAAAAAAAGTTGATGCACATACTGTTTCCTTTTGTAAGCACAAGTGTGGAGACTCAGAAATTATGAAGAGCTTTACTTTGTCTCACAGAGTCATGAGAGCTAGTTAAGGCAATCTCTCCATGGCTCTCCTCCACTGTCTCACACTGGTGCTTCTCCTCCGACTTTAAGAACAGAACACTTGGAGGGCTGAATCATTGTGCTGATGCTGACCTAAATTTCACTCTTCTTTACATTCATGCTTTCCCACAGTTTTAGAGAACACTAGCTTCATCAATGAATCCCTGCCTGTGGCAGGCAAACTATGGCTCTTATTTCACTCTTCTTTTCAGATTTTAAGACAGGTTATTTTGTACATTTTTCTCTTTCTTTCATTGTGTGGCTTCAGGGTCTCATGGAGTCCTTCCCAAGCAGCACGAAGCTAGCAGAAGTTACAAAAGGTAACCTAGCCAGCAGGAGGGGCTCAGAGCAACTTGCTCTGGACTGGCAGCTAAGCACCATGACACCAGAAGAATCCTCCTACTGGGATTAGTTTTTCATGTTGCATTAACAAAATTTTTATCGTTATACATTGCAATACCTGAATTTTACTTTGTTTTAAGATATTGATATATATATATATATATATATATATATATATATATATATATATAATTTTTATTCCCTTTCCCTCCCTCCTTCCCTTCATCTTCTTTCCCCTGATCATCTTCCCCTACTCCAAAATCTGCCTTTATTTTACTGTTTAATTTGTTTATAATTGAGTTTCTCATGTCGCAGAAATCACATGATATTTAATATTCTGTGTCTCATTTATTTCACTCAAAATCCTAGTCTCAAAATCTATTTTCCAAGAAATTATTAAAATACATCCTTCTTCATGGTTAAACAAACTTCTCCTGTGAGTACATAATACGTGTTTTTTCACCTGATCATCAAATTTTTAAATACGATTTTCAAAATTCTTCATAGTGCTACTTTCTTGTCACAAAATGGCTGGAAATCATGATTTTACACATGATCGCCTTTTGACAGTGTCTGAACTTTCACTGACTGAAGGAAATTTCAGGTTTACAAGAACTCTGTCAGCTCTGTTAAAATGAACTTGGAACTGAGCTCATACTAGTATTTGGCCTTGAGAAGAAGACTGAAAAATAAATCAGTAGATTAGTCTAGCTGGACTTCCATAATAAATGACCATTGGCCAGGTGACTTAAACTACAAAAATTTATTTCTCAAATTTGTGGCTGCTGGGAAAGTGGAGATATAGATGCCAGCTAATTAAGTTACTGCTTCCCATTTTGTGGAGGCCCTTGTGTCCTCATATGGTGGAGAGAAAACTAGAAATATATCCATTTCCTCTTCTTAAAAAGATACCAACTTGATCTTAAAGATCCTAATAGCCTATGACCTCCTTGTACCCTAGTAACCCCCAAAGGCCACATCTGCAAATACTATCAATTGGACATTGGCTTCAATATATATATTTTGAGGCCAGACGTATTCAGTCCGTAGTATAAAACAAACTATTTGAATCTGATCATTTTATTTCAAATTTTCATTTTTGGTTTTTAACAAACTTTTGATTTCCAGTAGCAATTTTTGTAAATATCCTGATCTAGTTATCTATGAATTCAATATCATCTCTTCCTTTGTAGAATTTTCAACTAACATCAAAAATTCCAAGACACAGAATCTTATTCAATTTCAAAAGTTGTTTTATACATATTTTCCACTAAAACTAGGAAAAACAAGTCTCAAGATTCCTATTACTATTGAAATATTGTTTATTATATTTAGAAAGTATAATGCTATATAGATATTATATATTCATCATCAATAATTAGTTCTCAATTGAGATTCAACATTGAAGTGGGAAATTTGAAATACTTTCTCCAAATGTTTTTGGTTAGAATATAAATTTTAATCATGACTTTGCTGAGATGCCATGAGTTCTGTACATTATATAAAATTCTAAAGTTGCATTGCAAGGACACTGCCTTGGAAAAGGAGAATCTGTTCAGTTGTGTTGTCTTGGTCTCTGGCTCAGTGACTTCCTCCTCCCCACTTGGAACTGGTAGCTCTTCAGACTCATACCAAGAACAAATCTGGAGGAGCTGTTCTTTGTTCACGGGTGCAGTTACAGAACTCTATCTGAAGGATCTGCAGAGCAGAGATTGGCAAAACTGAAAATAAATGTGGTAATTTCCCCGAAATGCTTAAAGTTTCTGAAAAGTTGGTGTCTATCATCTATTCTATCTACCTACCTACCTATCTATCTATCATCTATCTATATCATTTATTTTGTCTATCATCTAGCTAGTTAGCTACCTATATATCAGAGGGAGATGAATGCATTGTGATTATGTTGTATTAGACACACTAAAGAAGGCTCACAAAACTCATTAACTCAATTTGAACTAGGCATGAAAACCTGATCTTTACCATGTCCATTTGTCCCACCAGATGAGAAAACATCCTCAGTGTGCATGTCAATGTGCTGCTACTGTCAGAAAGTAAAGAAAGCACCAATAAGACCAGAAATCCCAGATTCACCTACAAAAAGTTAAAATGATTTCAAGAATGAGCCAGGAGCTGGCTCGTATAACACATAGGCATCGTTAATAAAGCAAGCTATGGTATGCTACCACAAAAAAATTCGGGGTATACAACTTGACTAAAAAATATAGTGAATGTTTAAAAGTTTTCTTTTAAATTGTTGCTGTAAGAAATACATTTCATTACTCTCCCTCCAAATACTCCCTCTTGTTTTACGCATACTTTGGACACTGTTTTTGCCACTGTCTGAAGCAGTTCTGGGAGTGCACATTGTGAGTGTCTATAGTTGTACCACTGGTGCTAGCTCAGTGTCCTAAAACAAGTCAAAGCCTTTTCTTTCATGATCATTTTGGCTTTGGAGAAAAGCTAGAAATCGCACGTGCCAAATCCGATCAACACTATAATGTTTGCATGACCCTGCCTTTCTGTTGGATGGCATTTAACAGTGGCTCCCTTCAAACTTTTGAACATGTTTCTTAATGAGACTCATGAAAGAAGACTTCTAGAACTACTTCAGAAAGTTCCAAGAAGGATAGCATAAGCAAGTTTGAAACAAAGGCGAGTATTTTGAGGGAAATTACTGCAATGACTTTTTAAAAGTTAAATATTCACTAAGTATTTCAAACATGTCCCATTATATACACTAAATTTAGAGAACTTACATGTGGTGTCCTGGGAATCCTGTACAAGAATCTTCATAACAGTGTAATCTCCATGTTCCTAGAGAATGGATAAGTTGTAATATTAGTGATAAGAAAGGTTATGGAGTCATACAATCAAATATATAATAAGTATAACAATATGAAATCATATTAGAATCTGTGAATGAAAAAATGTCCACTTTGACCTTATGGAAGGGACTGATGATGGGGAATTAATAATGATCAGACACTGTTTCTTTCCTCTTTTCATACTGCCTCAACCCTCGGGCACGTGGACTGTGTTTTATGTAGTGCTGTGTACCTGAGCCCCAGGGCTGGTCCGTGCGAAGTGTTCCCTTGAATGGGTACTCAGAGGGTGGAGGTTCTTGGACCCACACTGATGACAGATGGACTGAAAATCCAGGCCAGTACTAGGGAATCTTTCTGCAGGGCTTTATATAGAGAACCAAAATAGCTAGGTTATCTTGGCTGAGGACCAAGTCTTAGGCATTAGTCATTTTGGCCTGTTCTAAAAACAAACAAGCAAAAACCACCTTACACTGGATAAATTATAACAATAGAAACTTATTTCTCACAGTTCTGGAGGCCAAGACGTCCAAATTCAAGGCATCAGCAAATTCAAGATCTACCAAAATAGCACCTTCTGTGTGTCCTCGCATGCTGGAAAGAGGAAAACCCTCTAAGGTCTCTTTTGTAAGGGCAACAATCCTCATGATCTAAGATGCATGGCACTAGGGGTTGGGTATGAATATATAAAGTGTGAGGGGAACGAGCATTTGGACCATTGCAGCAAACAAGGAAATTTACCATCAGCAGAGGAAAGTTTCCATTCACCATTCAAGATCAAGCTCAGTGACCTACAGAAGGACTTGACTGACTCTAAAGCATTGAAGATGAGAAGTGAAAGGAGTCTCTTAGAAAAGCAGAGATGGCAACATAGAAAGGATTTCCTATACCAAATACCATAGCTTTATTAAGGATGTATGCAGTGACAATGGGCTAGAGAAATTCCATGTCTGGAGAAGTTGGTAGTCCCTGTCCACCAGTGGTCCTTGTCCATTTTCTGTTGCTATAACAAAACACCCAAGTCTTGGAAAGTTAAAATGAAAGAGATCTGTTTGTTCACAGTTCTTAGGAGCTATATTTGCCAATGGCTTCTAATTCATTCTCAAAAGACCTTACTGAATATCTCCAGAAAGACATTATTTATTCCTAAGGGTGGTACCCCAAAACAAATTGCTTCTGAAAGGCCCTAATTCATGATCCAAGTGCAATGAAGATCTAAACTCAATGTTACATTTTTTCTTGTTGTTTTGATTTGATTCAGTTTGGTTTAGGCTGGTTTGGTTGCAATACTGAGGGTTGAACCCAGGTCCCGCACACTGGGCTATATCTCTTGGCCTTTATAATTTTTTTTTAACTTTTATTTTGAGACAGAGTATCACTAAGCCACTAAATTCCCCAGAGTGAGCTCCAACTTTCTATACTGCTGCCTTAACTTCCCTGAGAGCTTATCCAGAATATAGCAATCCCCAAGGAAAACCTTTATCGATTAATGCTTATATTTTGGAGAATACTGCCTTTGGGGGAGGAACTCGTGGATATTTTTCTAAATCCAAAGATTATCATTTCTACTTATTTCGATGAAAAAAAAGCATTTTAATTTTCATCAGTTATTATCAAAGATTGAGTCATAATTATCTGATTGATTTATGAACTCCAAATGGATGGATGAATGAATAGTATAGGGCCATGGTAAATGATTATTTGTAATCAGATCAAAATAATAATTTGAGTTAAAATTCTAGTCAAAACAGTTTATTGGCCTTGTTTTTCTGATTCTCAAAAGGTATTTTCCAGAACAAATATCTCCTGCCTGTAATATCTTCAACATAAAGAGCAGGAGAAAACTCTGTGATTTCCTCTGACAGGCAGTGTTGCCAAGCACTACAATGTTACAAACCAGGCAGGGTACCAGGGGTCATCCCTTCCTTTCTGAAGCTCCAAGTGTGAAATCCCTGGATGAAACATTACTTGCCTCTTTGTTCTCCTCCTTCCTGCTGTCAGGGTACAGTTTCCCTAAACTCCTATTTTTCATAGCTCTCACTGCATCTTGAAAGTGCAGGCCACAGCATCTCCCTTCCCAACTACTCTCAGCTTTGTAATCCTCCAAGTAGCACACAGGAAATGGCATCAACCAAAGGGTTTACCTTGAGACTTTCTGGTAGCTAACAGCAGGTCTCTTTTCAGACTGTTCAGGATGGAATTCTCCAATTAATAATCTCCGTGTGTTGCCAAAGCTTGTGTGTAACACCCATCGAGGCATGCAGAGGAAGATTGGAGCCCTGAAGAGAATCATGTCTCTACTGAGGAGCAATCAAAGATTGTGGCATTTGTTGTAAGTTAGATTCGTTTAGCATTATCATGACATTGCTAACACCACTGTGATGCAAAGATCAAGCGTACTTTTGTATTTTTAACCCCAAGTGCAATAGGTCTCTCAGGAAATCTATTCTATTTTGGATAAAGTTAAATACACCAGCAGATTCTTTCAAAAGAAGAGACAAATATAGAAGACTTACAGACACAGTTCAATATCTTGTACTCTTGCTTACCTTTAGCCCTGCACGGTATTGTGGTTTGGGCTGACCATTGGCCAGTACTAAGAACCTGCCCCCTGGAGGCTGGCTGCAGTCCTGAAGCAGACCCTCTGAGGCAGGTGGCAAGGGCCACCTGATAGAAGAAAAGTATTCAGAAATGTCCAGGGTTTAGCAATTAGGCTAGATGTTGATGTCCCTGCCACCAGGAAGACCAAGTGTGACATTTCCTCTCCTCCACTCTGGGTATATGGCAAACGTTTCTGCAAGCCTGAAAGACACAGTCCAATTCAGAGAAATGTCATCTTACGCACTAAAGAGTCACTTACTAAACCCTGGAATAAAAACAAATATCTCCTCATACAGGAAACAATGCAAGAGTTAACAAGGATGGGGAACAATTTATTTTAGCATATCTGGAAAGATCACTGTGTGTCTCCTTTGAATTTGTAAGTTTACTGGGTCCATTATGATTTGTGATGCTTAACCTCAGTTATGCCAACTTGATTGAGTTTCAGATCCACCCAGGTGATTGAAGAGCATAACTTATGTATGTCTGGTGGGTCACAGAAAATGAATTTGGAAACTATTTTTGGTTCTTCACCCCTTCATCTCTAGCACTATTTCTCTACTCTGTTTCCAAACCATCATGAAATGAGTAGCTCTGTCCTACCACACCCTTTGGCCATGATATTCCTGCCACAGACCCAGTCAACCATGGACTGAATCACTTGAAACCATAAGCCAATTAAACCTCTGCTACTTTAAATTCTCGGTATTGAGTATTGTCTTAGCAATGGGAAAGTGAATATATATATGATTTGTTTCAAACACACATATATATACATATATATATGTACATATATACACATATATGTACTACATATATATGTACATGTATACATACGTGTGTGTGTGTGTGTGTGTGTGTGTGTGTGTGTGTGTGTATTGTCTAGGTTGGAGTAAAAGTGGGTAATATCTGACTTTAACATTTGAAGAAAGTGGCTGGTCTGCCACTTCTCTGTTAGGAGACTTCTTCTCCTTTCCACAGAAAGCTTGCCCTCTTTGTGAAAATACAGCTCTCAAGGCACAGAGGCAACTTCACTTTCCAGCTGGTCTTTCTGAGAGGCAAGACGATAAAACCAACACTCTAGGAAGGTTTTCAGCTTTGGAATCATACAGAGGTCTCTGTACTAGATAACAACTGGGAGAAACAGAGGAACCTATTCTTGCTACTCATACCAGCTGGCCCCTTCTTTGGCCCTGGAGAAAACTGACACACGAACTAGAGCAGATGGTCGGGATCAGGGAGCTCTAGCCCAGGCTAACTTTGGTTTCCCCATTCCAAGTCTCCTCCAGGCCAGAACCTTCTCCAGGGGCTGATCTGAGCCCCTTCCTGGCTTCAGTACTATCTCAGTATGAGGATGGACTGCACCTCTGTTTCTCTCTAGCTCCATTTACTATTTCAGAGATCTTGTAAATTTCATTTTGTTAGGATTTTTCCGTGCTGATTGATCACAACACAACTAATATTTAGAAATAGAGTCTAAAGACCCCAGTCTCCTGTTTGAAAAGATCCTGGTAATCTATATACAAACTGACCTAACACTTTTCTGTAGAAAATTTTTTTAAAAGTTCTTGTAAAAACTAATGGCTACTATTTTTGTTACTGAATTTTATCTGTACCTTTGAAGCAGTGGCAAGTTCAGAAAAGTGCCCAGATTTGGCACATAGTGCTTTAGATATGGGCATAGAAGGTGGTGCTAAGCTCACCCAGCCAGAAACAGTTTCCACTGTGGTCAACACCATCCTGTCCATGCCAAGTCCAATAGGCCTACTATTTTATTATCATTCAAGTGATCATGCCTGCAATTTAAAGATAAAAATATTAAAGATCTAAGGCTTAAAGCTGCTTATCTTTCATTTATCTTTTGAGCATATCCTCTCATTATATTTCTCCTTTCCATGTGACTACCCAAAGACAGGTCTTCTTTCTCTCCCATGTAGAAATCCAGAGACATGCTGAGGCCAGAGGATTTGCTAATCAGCAACTTGGGCTAATAATTTTCTTATAGGATCAGGCCAAGAAAAATGGGAAGAATTAATAAAAGGAAATGTTTATAAAGCAAGTTAGTTATTCCTGTGCTACTTTAAATTTGCTCTTTTAGTCAATAGCCTTGATAACTTAAGAGACTAGTAGAGTTTCTGTATTCTGTCTCATAGAAAATCTTTTTAGAGAGAATCAGATTAAGAGGTGAAGATTTTAAATTTCCTCAGTTTCCTTCCTTTGTTTTCATGCTCAAAGTTTGATAGCATGTCCAAGTTCCTCTTGCAAGGACCAACTGCCGAGGTTTTCTACACCTCCTACATACCTAGACCTCCAGTGCTCCAGACAAGAGTTAGGAGATGAGTAGAAGCCCAAACTCATATAGCCAAGCCCTAAGTACCAGTGTGAATATATTAGAAGGTGGAGACTTTGGTAGGTAATTTGGTAGGTAACCTCCCATGATGAGATTGTTTTTTAAATAAAGGCGATATCAGACCTTATTCTGTCTGCCTTGGAACAATACAACAAGAATTTGGCTGTCTGGAAACTTCACCAGGCAATGATCTTGAACTTCTCAAGGTCCAACACTGTTAGAAGCAAATGTCTAGGGTAGCATTTTATTATCGCAGCCTGAGATAAGGCAATAGACTTTTTTCATCTTCCTACAGGCTACAGCCTGGGCATTGTTCTAACTCAGACTTTACTATGCAGATGAGAGAAAAGTCCTAACAGATGATGTGGTCCTAAGAAAAAAT